TCTGTCTCTATGGGTTTGCCTAGTCTAGATATCTCACATAAGTGGAATCATGCAATATCTGTTCTTTTGTGATCGGTTTCTTTCACTTAGCATGTTTGCAAAGTTCATCCATGTTGTGGCATGTGTCCATACTTCATTCCTTTTTAATGGCTGAATAATATTCCATTGTGTAGACATTCATCAGTTGATATTTGGATTTTTGATATACCTTCCTATTGTAAATTCAAATATATATATATTTTTTTGGTTTTTTTTAAAAGATTTTATTTATTCATTTTTTTCCCCCCAAAGCCCCAGTAGATAGTTGTATGTCATAGGTTCACATCCTTCTAGTTGCTGTATGTGGGACTCGGCCTCGCGTTGGACGGAGAAGTGGTGCCTTGGGGCACGCCCGGGATCTGAACCCGCGCCGCCAGCATCAGAGCGCGCGCACTTAACCACTAAGCCACGGAGCCAGCCCCTCAAATATATATTTTAAAAAGTTCTGTGTGGCCCGAAGCATATATCTGCTGGCCAGATATAGTCAGAGGGCCAACAGTATGAGACCTCTGTTTTACAACCTGCTGTTACATATTTTCCCATATAACTCTCAGAATGATTCTCTGAGGTAAGTGTTCTTTTTTTTTTTAATAATTGTATTTATTTACTTTTTCCCCCAAAACCCCAGTAGATAGTTGTATGTCATAGTTGCACATCCTTCTAGTTGCTGTATGTGGGACGCGGCCTCAGCATGGCCGGACAAGCAGTGCATCGGTGCACACCCGGGATCCGAATCCGGGCCGCTAGCAGCGGAACGCGCGCACTTAACCGCTAAGCCACGGGGCGGCCCTGAGGTGTGTTCTTATCTTCATTTTTCACATTAGGTACTCCATTTCCCTAGTAGCTCTTCTCCCCAAACCCAAAACCTCAGGGGAAACTGCTTGATTCTAGAATAAGTGGGATTCAGAGACCTAGCTTATGGCTGTGACCTTGAACTTCCCTGAGACTCAGTTTCCCCGCGTGTAAAATGACTGGTGTTGGGCTAGTTTATCTCCAAGGCACTGGGCTTTCCCCGGCATCCATCTGGGGAAACTAGGGCATGAATAAGTTCTGGTCAAGTCGGTTAGCTGCTGCGAACACCAACACGAAGATGCGGCACCTGCGTTATCCTGATAGTAATTGTAGATTCCTCCCAGAGCTGTCCTGAGGCAGGATGGGAAGAAACCACCTCAGAAGTCCTCCTTGTAGGCGGGCCGGTCCATTTTCCCTGCTTGGGTCATTTGTGCGGTAGCAGCTTCTGGTCTGAGCCTGGGACTGAAGTCAGAGGAGTCCCTTCAATTTGAGTGGTGGTTCCCTTACGGAAACCCCAGCGCGGGCCCCTCACCTCACTGATGGTGAAGGCAACTTATCTCCAGGGGGAAAAGAAGCGCCCCTGTTGAAATGCTGATAATCATTGAGCCTTTCCTGCGCCGAAAACTATTTAATAAGCAAAGTCGAATGTCTCTCGTGGTCTGCCTCACCCCAGGCACCTTTCCTCCGACCCGAGTTTTCCGAAAGGACGAAGGAAAGGGAAGCGACGTCCTACTCGCGAATTTAAAGGGGGCACCGGGCCAGCAGAGATCCGTGTTTCTCAACTCTTTCCAAGAGCACCTCGCGTCCCGAGTCGCCGCCTTCAACTCGGAGAAGTCAGGAGCCCCACAGGAAACTTGCATTATTGCACCCGCCGCCACAAACCCGGGCCAGCGGACGGGCAGGCGAGCTGGCTCCCACGGAGTGCGCCCCCTCCACGGCCGGCCGCCCCGCGGGCCCGCCCTCCCCGGGGGACCCCTCGGCACCTGCGGCCTCCGAGTAAGTGTCTGCGCGCACGTCCGCCCGCCTCCCCC